AGAGAGAGAGAGAGAGAGAGAGAGAGAGAGAGAGAGAGAGCAGGGGTGGGGGTCCTAGTCCTAGTGTGCGGTAGCCGGTTGTTCCGTCCGCGGTCCGCGTGGAGCGAGGCAAGCAGCTGCGGGGTAGAGGCAAGGGTCCTAGTGCGTGGTAGCTGTTTATTTCGTCCGCGCCAAGCGAGGCAGGCAGCTGCGGGGTAGAGGTAGGAAGGGGGTATTGGGGTGTCGGTGGGTGCAGGCGTTGGTGGCTTTGTCGGGAGTTGGGGTGGTCCCGCACCGCTGCTCGGCGCCGTCTGCCTTGGGGCCACCCCGATCCAGCAGCACGCCTGGACGATTAACGCCTACACGGGGATTTTGATTTTTTGCCACCGCTATTACACGGTTAACCGGTGTGGGCGTTCCGTGCGTGTGACATCCCTTCATTCCGTGGTACGCTAATTTCTGGGCCAACGGTAAAAAACCGCACAGGCGCCGCGTTGGTGCTCCGGTAGCCCACGTTTTCCCTGCAAGGACCCATACGCCTCCCGTCAACAATTTTATAGCATGCAGCAGCAACGAACGCTTCGACCTGCATCGGTTAAACTTTTCCGACCGCCCAGCGGGCCGACTCCCCCCCCCGCTCGTACGCGCTGGCCGTCCCGGTACGCGAAAAAAAAAGTTTCTTCTTGCTTCTGGCGGCTTTGCTTCGCCGCCGAGAGGAGCTTCTCCTTGCGACCGGTCCCCAGCTACGCCTCCTTTTGGCGGAAACTCTTTCCCCCTCGGCGATGGCGAGCCTCTTAGTCGACGGAGAAGAGAGCCTCGAGGGGGAGGCAGCAGCAGCAGCGGCAACGGTGGTTGCTCCGGCGCTTGCCCTGTGGTGCCAGGAGGCGGAGGCGCTTGACCTAGCGACGCCGGAGTCGTTCAGGCACCACCTGGCGCTTATCGGCGAGATTGCTGAGGCAGAGCACGAGGTGAAGAAGTGGTGCAACCAAAGGGTGTCGGGTCGAGGAAAGGCGTGGGTTGGGCGAGTGTGTGCGTGCAGAGGGGGGAGGGTGGGTGAGTAGGCGGGATGGTTTGTGGGTTGGGTTGTTGTTCTTGTCTGACTGAGCGAGGGGCGGAGGGGTGGGGGGTGGATGGCATCTTTTATTCAGCCGGAGGCTCCACGATCACCGTCAAACGTTGGTTGGGTTAGACACGAGCGTAGGAAATTTTCGATCTCTGCCATTGTGGACCTGTCTTGAGACATGGTCGTGGACTCTGCTGTCTAGCCCGTGATACTACCGCCGCCGTCACCGCCCGAACCCCCCCCTACACCGATTGCACATACCACGGGTAACCTGTTTCCACTCTCGCCTCGCGGTGACATGGACAACTTGCGGACATCCAACCCGAACTCAGGCGGCTGTCAGAGCGCGTGCGCGACGGAGGGCGGAGGGAGGGAGTGGCGGGCCGGACGGGAAGGCTGTGGAAGTACCGGCGTCGTCGGGAAGCAAAGAGGCTGGCCCAGCAGCGGACAGTGGTTCTCCGTTGGCGCCGACCTCACCCAGACCTCAAGCGGCGGGGCAAGCAGGGGCGGAAGGTACCATTTCGTTTGAGTGCGAGTTTTGCACACCAGTCTGAAGGCTTTGTGGGTTCCGTTTTGTTGGGAGCGAGGCTTGCCTGTTGCTGGAACGATCGAGGTGCCCCTTGCTTCTTGATTTTGTCTTGGATTTAATATGCTCAAGATACATCGTTTCTGCTTGGTTTATCTCGGATTTGAGGCGCAGGTGGTTGTTTGTGCTGGGTTGAGGGTAAGGATGATTCTTTGATCGATGTGTCCGTTCCCCCGCCCGTTTGAAAAGGCCCGCCTTCACTCCGTCCTCAACGCACACCGCTGATGCGTGCATTCCGATGCGACTGGGTCTCGCCCCACCCTGCTGTGTGTGTGTGTGTTTCCTGTTATCGCCCGCGCTTACCGGCTGACCAATCAACACACGTCAGTGTCAACGGAAAAAAATCAAGGTGCCCGGAAGGGCACCAAGATTCAGAGATTTCCGTAGTAGCCCTTCCCGTGCTGCAAGCCTGCTTCGAGAAGACACACGAAATATTCATTCACCCAAGACCTCGCCCGAAGCTAAGAGAGAGTGTCGTGTGTTTGCCAGTTTCGTCAGCAGCAAGCAAAGGGCTGGGTCACCCGTCTCTGCTGCGCATGCGGACGATGATGAAGACGGCGGGAGACAAGCTGGCCGCGGATTTCAAGAACCTCAAGGTGGGCAAGGGTTCCTGCAGAATCTTTCTCTTTCCAATCCTCACAGTAATAGTTCATTCGGAGCATTTTTAGTAGGGAGCTAGTAGTCGGAAGCCAGTCTTTTGTGGTTTTTCCAACGGTGGCGATGCTGGCGTGTTGAAGCAAGTGTTGTGAGGGAATGGCATGCATTGCGCTGCAGACCTTTGCGAGTGGCAACGCCAAAACTCTAGGTGTATTCTTCGACGGGTCGACAAACCTCGAGACAGGTTTCAGCCCGACGGTTTCAACCTCCTACATGGTGATATCACCGCGTGCCCATTTGTTCGCTCTGCTCGTGGTAAGCTGGTAGTCCGGTCTCCAATTATTCGCTCCACTCTTCCCCACACCCATCTGTTTCTGATACTTTTCGCTGTTTTATTTCGTTGTTCGATTGTTTGGTGGGGCAGCTCGCCCGCCCGAACCCAGAAAACTTCCGACAATCTCGGGAAGGCCTCGCCCCTCCGACAGAGCTGTCACTGCCGCAGCTGTGCCTCGCCGTCAGTGCGAAGGAGCTAGTGGCGGGGGTCTCCGGCAGGCGTCGGGAGCGTGCTGCGACAGGGGATGGGAGTGGAGAGGCGGGGGCAAGAGGGGCGAAGGGCGTGGATGCCGAAGGGCGTCAGGGTTCGCTTTTCAGGCAGCGACAGCCGTTGGCATTTTTCGCGGTCGACTGCAGGCCTAAGCAGCAGGTGAGAGGCTAGGCAGGGTGGCACAACAGAGTGCTGGCAATGTGATGGGCTAGTTTTGATCAGGAGGGTTGTGTTGTGAGCCACAGACACTTGAGGAAGCATTGTCTGTGTTTCCTCTCTCTCGCTGCCTCGTCTATCTCTCCCTTCCCCTCTTCTGCCCCGAGGCGATGTGATGTCATCGTTTGTCTGGTTTGAGCTCAGCTATCATCCTTGGACAACTACTGGCTGTCGCATGTTTTCCTTTCTGTCACACACCGAGGGACATCTTGCGACAAATGCTGCCGTTCTTTTGTTTTTTGTTCAGGTGGACGCAGGCCGGTTTCCGACTGCGTATCACCTAGATCCATCGGCAATGGAGAACCCGGAAGAAATGGCCGAGGTCAGTGTACAGACTTGACGGGACGAAGAGCAAGAGCGGAGTTTCACTCAAGGAGATTCGTTGTTGCTTTGCTGATCGCCGGGCGTCTACGTGTCGAATATGATACAGGACACGGTGTACAAGTGATCTGGTTACCCGCGCAACTCATGAGCCCGTCTGAACTCGAGTAAAAGATTAGGATTGTTTGCGTTAGTCTATCTCCCGGTTTGTCGTGTACTATAATGTATGGTAGATTCCATCACACTCCATCGCATCACAATCAATACGCCGGGCTTATCAACGGCCTTTGGAACAACCAGCCCAGCACCATGTCGCCGAGGCGTTCTCATCCACGCGCGCTACAGATATAACAACACAAAGTTAAGTCCTACGCCATCCCGGCAATAGTGACCAGCTTTCTTCAACGACCGCTCCTGTTCGGCCGGCGTTTTTGTCCCATCTCCGCCCCGCAGAAAATCATGCCGGTGTTCGAGCCCCTTAGGAAGCGGGCGCACGTATGTCTTATCGGTAGCGGGGATGGGCATCTCCGGGCGAGGGGGCTTGCGGATGGGAACGGGCACCAGGTTGGGGGGGGTATCGGGAGCCAGAGGGCCGCGAGAGACGACTACAGCTACGTGAACACGTGTGCTCTGTTCTTCGTGAAGCGAGGGTTTCCGTACGTGTCGGTGCTTGAGGGGGTAAGTGTTCGTTGTAGGAGCTATGCTATCTGTATCGTGACGTGTCATTTTTTTTTGTGTCTGCGTTGACGTAGATGGGGCTAATCGGAGCCGAGCGCGCGGAGGGCGGGGGTGGGTGGGCTCTGCCGAGGGAGGTTTGAGAGATTGTGTTCATGATTGTACACAAGGAAGGAAATAGAAACGAACGTCCAACCGAACACCCACCTGCGCATTCTCAATCTGTCCTCGCTCTCTCCCTCTCTCTCTCTCTCTCTCTCTCTCTCTCTCTCTCTCTCT